AGCTGCTGATGTGATGGCGGGGCGGGGAGGGCGCAGGAAGAGAGGGCGACCCGGGGCGAAATCAGCGCGACGCACGCGGAGGAAGGGGATGACTTCGCCCGAGGCGGTGGAAGGAGGAGCTGCAGAGGACACGGAAAAAGTGGGGGATTTAAAAGACGGCAGCTCTGAAATGAACGGTCGAGGTGCGAAAAATGCGAAATTGGATCTATGTTCCACGGAACGCGGTAAGGTTACGGGATACTGTTGGACTAAGAAAATAAGTGGGGAAAAAATTGACAAGTGAATAAACAAAAACAGATCAACAGAAATGAGATATGGGTATGTTAAGTATAGCGGAGTAAAGATGGTAGTAGAAATAAACCGAGCCATGTAAAGTATAGAGAAGTGCAGTAGTGTGTACTGTACAACAAATATGTGATAATGAAGGTCGAATTTCGAAAGTCAGAGAAATAGAAGAGTTGACGTTCAAATAGTTCGGATGAAATTGAAAAAATCACGTGGGTCGAGGCTTGAATGTCAATATTCAGAACGTATCAGAATAAATGTTAGAAACTTGTAAGGCAATTGGAGGTTAGAAAATGGTCCATATTTCCCAAATGCAAATGTGTTGGTAAATCGCACATAACGAAGTTTACACATATCACATGTTTTCCTGCTTGGCAGGCAAGTCATCTTACACTTGTGTTTAGCAGATACCAATTGAGACAAAGAGCAGCATTGTCTCTACCTGTCAAGCAACGGTGCAAGATAAATTGCGTACCAATCAAGGGCAAATGTCGTATGAATACTCTTCCTTAGATGAGATTTCCCAGTACATGTCCATTGAAAAAAAGATTATTTTCGCCTGTCCCTGCATGTGTAATCTGAATTAGAAGTTCACATTGTATACTCTGCGACATACTGAGAAATGTGGAGTTCGGGGGAGCAAAATGTGGGATGTAGAGATCGCCGGGCGACGGCAAGGGGCGGAGCGGGCGCGCGCACATCGAGAGCGGTGGAGACCGAGTCGCGTTCTGCGCGGGAGGGCGTGGGTGGGCACTGACGGGGAGGGGGGCGGGCGAGGGCGGGCGGGGCGGCTGCAGGGCGCTGTCGTTGCGCGCTCTCCGTTTTAACCTCAGCTGCCGGCGCTGGCGCTGGCGGCGGCCGCTGCGCCAAACACTGCCGAGCGAACAGCTGCGCCCGCTCCCAATTGGCGGACAAAACCTGGCTGCCGGACATAATTGCCAAACAAGTGCGGTGCGGCTGCGCGCGATATGAGGTGGACGCGACGCCCCTCCCACCCCTCCCACCCCTCCATTCCCCCCTCTCTCCGGAAGAGGACGGCGTCTGTACATCTGTCACGTTTCACGCCATAATGTTGACCGACTGTGCCGAACGAGCGAAAAGAAAGAAAAGTCAACGGCAGTTGGGCACGAGCAAACCAATTAAGTGTTTGAGGAAGAATAGAGAAAGTCCACAAACCGATTTTGCGCGCGAGAAAATGGATAACTGGAAATACAAACTTGCAGTAAGGTAAAAAAGATCACAATAGCAAACCGGAACATCCGTAAAACATCTTGCTGGAATGATGGGAGAGAGAGATGTGGAAAAAGTACGAAGTTGTAGTCATTTATATAGAAATTTAATCAACGCGAAATTTGCAAGTACCTACACAGAGATGGCTTTTTTCGAAGTTGTTGTCTCAGTCAGGCAATACACATCAAGTTCATGTCTGCCTCGGCTACGAAAGATCGGCCCACGAGCTTTAAGCTCTCGTGCTACTGGACCCTTGAGCGGCGAAGTGCAGCAGAGGGCGCTGCGGGCGCAGTCGCTCGCGCTGGCGCGCGGCGCGCGCAGGCCTTTGATCTGTGGAGGCGGGGGTTTGGGGGGGGAGGGGCAGCAGACAGACGCGGCCGGTGACGAGTCGCAGTAACGAGCTCCTCCGAAATTCGCGATCTGAAGCGCTGGCGGCGGCGGCGGCGGCCGCTCTCCGCACACGCCAAAGTTTGCACTTCGTTATTGCGAGAGCCCAACAGCGGCGCGCGGACGCCGGCCGTCACCGCCACTTTGCGGCAGCCTCCTGCGCACTGTGGGCCGGCGCCGTGAATCAGTTGGCCAAAAGGCAGGAGTTGATGGGCGAGGGACGGGGATTTGGAAGTGGCTGGTTTCATGCCTTAACATCGAAAGGGTCGAACTGCGCAGGCATATGAAATCGATATTCGATATCTTCATTCCCCGAAAGTGGGAAGTAACTACTTTGTAATAAGCAAAATTAACAAGAACCTATCTCTTTCGAGGATGCATTCAGTGAATCGGTTTCATTTTGATTATTCTCATAAGAAGAATATTATGAAAAATACAATAACATTTATGTATCAATAACAAACGAATACTCTTCTTTAATAGACATTAAAAAATAAAGATTTTTAAAACTCCTGGAAATAGTGTTCTGCTACTACTTTTGTGTATACTCGTTTCTAAAAATAAATTATTCTTTTTTAGTGCCAGGAAGTTTATGTGAATTCTACCAATTTCCGAAATCTATTGATTCACATCCCAATTTTTAAATTTCAGTTTAGTCTTTTAGTCTGTAATACGCATGGGATTTTTGGAATGGTTACTATAAGTTTGCAATAAATGAACATTAAAATAAAGTGTTGATTTGATTCAGATTTTTTTAAAAGTTAGTTTTCCCAAATTTCTCATTGCCCAAGATCCCATTGCAAGAACTTATAATGATTCATTTTTTTGTGAAATTGACTTCAAATTCGTTCTCAGCGAAATCAGAAAGCAGCGTCAAGTTTGCAAATTGCAAATTGATAAACGCATTCCAATTGCGGCCAGTTTTCCGTACCACGCCCACAGTGAGCCCGGCCGTTCCAGTGATACGGAAACGTGAGGGCATCGGATCGCGTGCTACCGCGAACATATAGCCAGAGATGCGGAGGAATGAGAGTGAGGACAGGGCGAGGGCGGCGCCGCGTTGAGGCGAGGACTGGCCAAGTGGTACCAGGAACCGCTTTATTCGGCTAATGGCTTCGTTGTGCTCCAAAGACATCTCGCTCGTGGGAAGAGCGAGCGCTCTCCACGTGGAACGTAAATGGCGGAGTAGGATTTGCTTTTGCTCGTCCGAGCTAGGACCAAGTGCTCCTTAAATTGCTTTCTGTCTACTCGTACTTCTATGACTTTTTCGCTTGATATTTGAACCATTCATCAAGCAGCCAGAAAGATGAATTTCATATAACAAGCGTCTTTTATCTCACACTCAGATAATGAACAATCTGTATTTTTCTTAAATAATTTTAATTAATAAATGTATAAGAGTTAAAATCTCAATTTGTTTACTTCTAGTCTTGTTAAAGATGAAATAAACTGATTTGCATATGTGGAGTTTTTAAAACGGAAACAAAAATGTTTTAAGGGAAAGTCCATTTGTGCTTAACAATAACAATTTTTGAAGTAAACAAACATTAAATATCATCTCTGCAATTACTTAGATTTCCTTCCCGTCTTATATTATTGAAAATTATTTTCAAATGAAATGAAAATGACTGATTAATTGTCTCGAAGAATATGGTGCCCTCAAATCTTATTTGTATGATTTAGTTAAACCTTAATTTAATTAGTCTTTGCCAGGAATATTTGCTATGCACATAATGCGTACACAATGTTCCAAAAACAACGAAAAATTCCATTATTAATGAGATGTTGCCTTGATTTGATTGATTGATCATTTTCTCTCTCGAGAATTATTCCTTCTGGATTTTATGAAAATATAGTATAATCGAGAACATCTGAAATGCTAGTTAACTTGAGTTAATTTGATATTTGGTACATGTATAATAATGCAAATGAAATATCTGACACAAAATGATTCCATATGGCATGATTTCAAATGAAGTGTTTTGAACATTACATTCATTAATATTACCCTTCAATAAACTATAAATTATAATTTCATAATAAACCCTTTACTTTGAGTATTTTCTTCGTGAAGTGAATTTCATAAAATTATGATAACGGGGAAAATGGAGTGTGAAATGTTTTACGTTTTATGACTTTGGACAAAATTTAAAAATCAAAAAATTATAATTTCTTTTTATTATTGCAAAAAATCAATTTTTGTTTCCTGATCATGACATAAAAATAAACATTTAATAATACTTTAAATTTCATTTTAAAGAAAGTGATTGGCTGAACTACTAAATACATCGATCACTAGCTAATCCGGTCCTATTTAGTCCATTTTGTGGCAATCCGGCACTAAATTTGAGAAATAAACTTACCACACACTATTACATATTGTTGCCAAGTGATTCAGAACCCTTGCAAATACGTAAAACATAGTATACAATGTTCAAAATAAAATAAAAGAATATCCGATGATTTTTCTGTTTTACATCACAGTGCTGTAATTTTTACATTATCTTCTTTGGGTATCTTAAGAAGTAAGACCTTAGGAAGCTCACGGCATCAATTTACATCACCGTCTATTACTACAGTGCCTCTGACTGGTAGGTACAAGCGTTCGACTCCCAGTTGTGTTGCAGAATTTATGACTCTAGCTAGATAACTAGACCGAATTCATCCGTTGTCTGAAGAAGATTTCTAGCGGTCAGTTGCTCCGATCTGTAGTTTTCCGTGATCTCCCCGATCAACACCCGGCGAATGACGGAGCAGTACGCTAACAAACGGGCCAGGGGAGGCGGGCGACCCTTCCTCCCTCTTCCTTATCCTGTCCTCACCCCTTACACACACTTATACTCGCATGCACTACACTACCACACATGCCGGGAACTTCGAACTTTTCCCGGCAGGGGCGATGCCCCACTGGTCAGCCATGACTGGTTGGGCAAAACCCCCGTAAGTCGACGTGTCGGTCGCTGTCGAATCTCGCCTTCCTCCCAGGAAAGATCACTACCAACTCCCTCAATAAAACATGCACTACACTTACGGGACAGCCGTTGAGGAGGGGGGCAGAAACATCAAAGAATTAAGAGTTAGGAGTAGTAAGCCATTAAATGCAGGAATTGTTTGCGAGTGGCGCGTTGTTGACGGCGCGCGTGGCTTGCCGCAGGTGGGTGGTGGACGAGTGGGGCCCCTGCTCGGTGAGCTGCGGGGGCGGGCAGCGCTTCCGCTACGTCCACTGCGCAGAAGACGGCAACGGCACGCGCACCAAGGTAAGTGCAGCGCTTCCCCGCCTCTGCAATGCTGCAAATGAGCGCCGCATGTACATGGGTGCATCATGTATGAAATATGTACGCATTTATGCCGTAAAAGCTTCGAAAAAATGCATTAAATTGTGCCGTGTAAAAGTATATTAACTCATCACACAACACTTCATAATTTTACGCAAAGATTATCCAGAACTTTACTCTTAATACACCGCTCCAACAAAATCTCGAAGAGTAGTAATAGGATAAGTTAGCTTCCACAATGGAATGTCTTCCGCTAATACATTTAACAATTACTATTGGAACCACGATTGAACTCAATTTCGAGAATGCCTTAGCATACGCCTGCACACCATTTATTACAATAACGAAAGTGAGGAATAAAAAGAGCATTCAGATTACTAAACCGATAAATAATAAAGGTTTCCATGCACAATTAGCCGAATAATTTCCAATTTTCATAAATAGTATGCTTATTAAGAATGCTTATTACCAAAATACGCAAGTTACGCATCATAAAATCAAAATTAAATAATTGTAAATTACGTATTACATGCACAAATCAAGAGCGCAATATTACAAACTGCAAGAACAATATGTTTATTTACATTGAAATTCGATCCCAACCGATGAGTGATCTTACAAGAGCATGTTATACACGAGTATAATCAGCAACACGTCTGTATTGAATGCATTTATATTTTCCTGTTTACCTACGTGTCTTGTGGATTTCGGAGGAAACCACTGCTTCAGAGGACGTTTCCAATACTTTCGCCACCGCCTGGGATGGATACGCTCTCCAGGTACGGCCACCAAGATGTCTGCCAACTCTCCTTACTCCAATACTTGATAAGAACTAGTCCTTATATTCAGTGTGTTCTTGCACCTTACAATAGTGGCTCGCTGCCCCTATAGACTTGCTTCGACATTAGTGAAATAGGGGGACACCTATGAACTGCACCAGTTGTGGCCAGGCCCACTCCCCTCGATTTGGCAACACCGACCAGACATGGCTATTCTTATAAACAAGGCATTTAGAGAATCACGTTGTCCAGGCTTAACGAGTACGTGGTTCACATATCATGCATCAACGTCCCGCAGATAGAGAAGCAAAGATGGGATGTCGTTTAAAAGGAGGTGCTTGGGGTTGGCCACCTTGTCGCAACATAAGGGTAAAAAACTATGGCCAAGTGGGATGCAAACCCATAGGACTTGTTTCCGATATTGCCTCTGCACTCTTTTAGAAATTTCGGACGCCCTGGTCGGCAAATATGCATTGTTTCTTTGAAAGGTTCCCATTGCAAAATTCTTAGGGGGAAAGTGGAACTTCACATATTCGTATTCAAATGGCACACGAGTAATAGACCGCGTGTCCTGATTGATGCATCTGCATCAGTTTAAATTAAATTTCTCCTCAACAACGTGGTAGTGATGAAATGTTTTAATTCTCATATTTCATTCATTCGAAAAATATTTCACGCGCTAACGTGAAATTTTATATCTCTTTTTCTCGTATTCTATTTGATTCTGCATGTTGCAACGCAATACCATCTCGTATCAATGCATGACGTGTTATATTGGTCTTGTGCAAACAGACAATGAAGACGTAACATTGAGCTCGAATCCGCGTATTTAGCGCTTGCAATGAATGGGCCCAAGCGCCGCTAATCTGTGCTCTCCGGGAAGTGGGAAGACAGCTGCTTAATTTCGCCGACTAGATAAAAATGCTCGCCGCGTCGGCTCCGATGCCTGGCGCGTGGGAGCGCCCTAATCGCTGCGCTTAAATCGCCCGCGCAGCACGCGACGGCCCCTCGCCTGGAGGCCCTCGCCCCCCCCCCCCAATGCGCTCAGGCTCGGCTCCTGGGCTCGTTGGGTCAAATTTATATTGTCCCACAACGTGAACTCGCGCTTATAATCATCTTCGACAGGTTTTGATTCGCATGGTTTGGATATCATATTATTATTATTATTATTATTATTATTATTATTATTATTATTATTATTATTATTATTATTGACCGTTGTAGAATCACGAACATTGATGAATAATAAAATAAAATTGGTTCACGGGATTGGTCAACGTGGTTAGAGAAACAATTAGTTGTTTCGAAATATTTAATTTCTTCATCGGGGATAGAGTATAAAACAAATGAACAATGCATGAGGATAACAAACATTTCAATAAATTGATTCATTAATACATTAAACATTACACAAACAAAAACAAACAAAAAATTACAAACCAAGATAAATAAAACACCAAAATTTAGAACGTTGGTGTTTTATTTATCTTAATTTATAATGTGACAGAGTGGCGAAATACACTTCCGACGTACAGTATCCTTCAAAATGCAACACTTCTTCTTACAAGGCAAATAATTGAAATAACGTTGTTTTTCCACCCTCCTCACTTCCGTCACAGCAAAGGGTTTACTTAATTTATTCGATGATCATGTTTCTCTCTGTTTTCTGAACACTTTCACCCCCAGGCCAGAGAAATCTGTAATCGAGACTTTATTTTCGTGACATAGCTTTCCATATATTATTCAAACGTTCCTGTGAGCATCCAGTTAACCTCTTTCAAAGTACTGATTTGTCTTCAATATCATTAATACTTTTGTCAAGAACCATCTTTAGTTTCTGAACTTCTGTTTATTTTTGTACAGACATTTATATGCTTATAATCATTTGCAAATCTCGTCATCGAGTTTCGAATAAATATCCATCATCGAACTGTTGTTGATAATGCTTTCATAAAGTTGACAGTTGTATCGTGCTTGAGTCCTCCACTCTTCTGATCGCGGCGTGTGCCAGGCAGCCAGCTTTCGTCCCGCCTTTGCCCCCCCACCCCGCCCCCCGCCGCCGCACCCGCGCACTTGCCACCCACGGCCCGCCTTCGACCGCCGCCGCCGCCCCCGCCGCCGCAAACCCCCGCACGCCCACCCGCACCACCCGCCGCCGCGTCCCCCCCCTCCGCCACCGCCGCCGCCCGCCCCGCCACCGCACGCCGCCGCGCTGAAATGGCAGCGCAGCCATCGGGCCGCGGGGCGGCCTTGTCTATTATTACCCGCCTCCGTCAAATGAAGGTGCCTCGAAGGCGCGTCCTTTTCCCCGCCTCCTTCACCGCCCCGCCGCCGCCGCCGCCTCTCCGCGTCGCCCGACTCCATTGGAAGGCGCTGCATTAATCTTGCACGCGACTTATACATCACCCTTTCTGAGGGTGCGGAGAGTGCCGCGTCGCCGCGCGCAAGAGAAGCCCCGAGTCGCGCGCGAAGCCGCCTCTCGCCAGTGGGCGGGCGGGGCGGCGGGGGTAAGCGGCAGGCGGTAGACGCGGGGCCGGCGCCGCGCCCGTCTTGCTTCTAATGGACCCGCGATCCGCCCGCGAAACGCGCAGATAGTGTTTATGCAAGCGAGGGACGATGGCTTACTGGTGACTGAGATGTTAATGGTAGTGGTACGTAGTGTTTCAATGAGGGGTTCCATGGATGTTTGTGAGCCAGAGGAGATGGGGGGAGATAATTTTAATTTTAAAATGTATAAAAATTAGAAGAAAGGCGAGAGGGCGTGGAGGACCAGCGATGGCTGCGCTAACAACGATATGCCTAATAGGTAATTTGACATCAGTCAAAGGACCAGAGGAGTTTGAACGAAACACTAATGTGCAAAACGTTGGAAATCATAATTGCTTTTTTAGTAATGGTAGTAGTTCCGAGTTCAGTAGCAGGGAGATTTCATGACATTACGAAGTTTTAAGGCGAACGCAATGCGCCAACAATCGACGAGAAGCAGTAGGGATAGAAGTATTTGCATTGTTTATTACAACTGAGGAGTAACTGAAAAAGTCACTAAGAGTAAATTACGAAGATCGAGGGAAAAGGGTGAGACCGACTAGGTAGTGCACTTAGAAAGGGGTAAATTCCAAAACACATTTTTCGATTAGAGAAAGAAATGGTTTGGACTGATAGATCTTCAGTATGCGTTTTCCAGGCATGCGGGAAATATCTTACTAACCGAGATTAATAAGCAAACTAACTGACAATGCGCTAATAGCTGGAACACACCTTCCGACAGAACATTACGGGGACGACGGACGGCGGCACAAAACGGGCCGGTATACCCAATTAACCAGGTACCGGAGCAGATGGGCGCCTGTCGGAAGCGGACGGCGACAGAACAGGAACTGCGGACGTCGAGGCCAGGCTTCACAACGACTCCTTACCACCCCCTCCTCCCCTCCCCTCCCCCTTCCTTGCCGCGCTCGCGCTTGAGCACGCGCGCCCCAGATAAGTCGCTTCGTTAATTAGCCGCGCGCGCCATCAGAATAGCGCTATTTGCCATAGATGCGCCCCGCCCCCCCGCCGCGCCACGCCGCGCCGCGCCGTGCCGGTGGCCCTATAGGGTCGCCCCTGGAGCTGCTCGCCTGACCCTTTCGGCCCGCCCCCCAACCCGCAGCAACAGGTTCTGGCGCCGCTCCGCGCTTCAACCCTCCGGCGGGGGGTT